TTTCTTTCAAATTTTTTTTTTAAAAAAAAGACTATTTTTTTTTTACTATGTATCCCAAATATTTCGTTTTTTTTTTTTGAAAATTTAATAAAGTTCTTTCTTTTAAATTTTTTTTTTTAAAAAAACTCCTTTAACAAAATTCCCAATAATTCCATTTTTATATAAACGCAAGATTTATTTCTCACCTTGAAGAAAAAAAAACAATTTTCGAAACTTCTTTTTTAATGAATTTAATAATATTTTGGGAGAACAAAAATGAGATACTTTAAAAGGCTTTGATTTAAAAAAAACAATTTGATTTCGTGAAAAATAATTATTTTTTATAAAAAAAATTTTTTTACCTAACGAACACTAAATCATCAATATCCAAAAGGTAGTGCTGATGCACACGCTTCGGGTTCATCATGAATACAAAACTATCGTCCAGGCCGTAACGAATATTTGTATCGTATATGATACAATTTTAGAAAGTTGTGAGACGGGATGTAGTGTGTTTAGTTCATATGACCCAGAATCTATCATGCATTATCCCATTACACCAATTCGACGTTCCTGGGAAACCAAGACGGTAGCTTGTTCACGTTTGCAAATTCCTCTCACACTCGCATGGGCTATTACTATACATAAAAGCCAAGGACTGACGCTACCAAAAGCTGTTATAGATAGGAATATAATGCTGGTCTCTCATTTGTTGCAATATCACGGGTTAGTGCTCTGAAAAACATTTTTTTTAAGCCGTTTTCATTTGAAAGGCTTCACCGAATCGGAAATCATGAGAGAGTAAAAGAAAGAAAGAAAGAAGAAAAACGACTGCTGGATTATATGATATTGTAATTTAACGTTGGACAACTTTTTTGCGTCAATTGTATTAAATTCTCTGGGGGAAAATTTTTTTATCGAAATAAATCGAAATTTGCAACGTAACATAAATCGGAAATTTGTAACGTTTCACAATGTATTTTAATTGTACGATTTTAACTATATATATTTATTTAGTATTTTATTGACGATCATGTGATTATTATGCTTCGGACGCTCCAACGGTTCCCGTTTCCTAGAAATAAAAAAATTCACGTGAAGAGTGGGGGCTATTATTTAGACGTAAGACTATCGCTATAGGTTAAGATGAAATTTTAAAAAATAGAAAAAAGGAATTAATGAACCAATAAAATATTAATACCTAAATGGTTGGTAAATTTATACAGTTACTTACGTTACATTACAATTTTACAATTTTGATAATGTAATCGCGGTTTCAAGCTCCCTAACCTTCAGTTCAGCTTGGCTGAGTCTCTGATTGTAATCGACTTGATTATTTTCAACTAATTTGATACGTTGATCAAAATTATTAATATACAGGTTAATACTTTTCAAATGTTTGAGAGTATCGCGTTGGATCGTTTCGATTTGAGTGAGTCGAAAGCACTAAATCGTGAGTTAATTGTTGATTGAGGCGCTGCTCGAACGTATTGAAGGTTGAATCAAGAGCCTTTGATAATTCCTTCAAGTCCTAGAAAAGAACTATATACATTTTTCTAACAAACGACTGTATAACAAGAATCTATATTTACCATTTTGACTAAATAGAAGTTTTTTTAAAAAAAGTCCAACTGATTTTTCGTAAAAGTTATTTTATTTTAAAAAAGAATAAAAAAGATCAATTTATTTTTAAAAATTCATTTTTTTGGTTAAACAAACAATTAAAATGGAGTAAAAGTAAATAAATTGATTAGTCTTTGGCTATTTTTAGATTACTTGTTCGTCAAAATAGGAAACTTTCTTAAAAACTTTCTATTCTTTGACCAAATCAGATCTCATCAATTGAGATGTTTAAGAACGCCTTAAGATTATTTAAACAATTATCAATTAACAAATTAACAATAACGTTTTTATTTTATTTAAGACATCCCTTCGAAATCATTTGATATCATTTAAATAATAGTCGGTCACTCCTTTGCGACACGAGAAAAAAAATGATTTGTTTAACGGAAATCATTGTTATGCCAATTTTTCATATTTAATGTGTTCATTTTATTGCGATACTCATGGCAATTTGTGTATCACGTTATCAGGTAATCAATGACGTATTGTCACGGGTAGGTAAAAAGATTGAAAAAATTTTTTTTCTGTAATTAGAATTTTTTTTTTTTTAACGAGTTACTCATTCCTAAAAAGCCACAAATGTCTATCATCGAAATGAAAAAGGTGAGCTTTCAACAGATAGTATGAAGTTTAAACGTTTGTTTGTTTCCGAGTTTCACCTTGAAAAAATGTGAAATTATAATTATAGTTTGAAGGTTGGGAGGAATTTCCGTAAAACAAAATTAGACTTCACTGATCGTCGCAGAGTGTGCACTGATACATTCATATTCGCGTATGATATTGCCGCGAAAAAAAAGAATGGATCAAGTTGCTCAATTGGCAAAAAATTAGTCTTTTTTTGCTCTTGAGCTCGGATAATGTGGAACAAGAGTTAATAATTAAGTTTCACTTGTAATAAGCGAGTCGAGCACTCAATGATATTTAAATTTGTGATTTGGATCGCAGAGGGTACAACGGACAAAAAGTGGAAAAAGGCTACCTCCGTTCTCAACGAAGGAGTACTAAAGGTGAGTATCTATTTTATTTAAGTTTTATATTTGGATGCAAAGGATAGGAAGGAGTTGGGTTACTATGCCAGAACAACCACCTAAAATGCTTGCCTACGCACCAAGCTAATAATGGAGTACTATCTCTGGTGGGCTTCATTCCAAGTCTACGTGAAGGCCAGTGCCTACTATGCCACAGTGCCGAGAATTACTATGTTCATTCGTAGTCCTGCTGATTCCTGCTCTGTCTTCAGGATGGTTTAGCCCTTTTTTTTAATCATTCTCTTACTGTTTCTATTTCTGTAGCTACAAGCACAAGGGGAAGATGTAAAATCGTTTTGGAGGAGTGTTGAAACCGAAAAAATCGAGGCAGAAAAAAGGTTATTAGAGATGGAAGTGGAGTTAGCTGAGGTATATGTCCAGCATTGATATTGTATCTTAAGTATCAAGTTAGTACAATACCAACTTTTATGTTTTTTATGGTTTTGCAGACTCAGTTTTCGGTCGATCGTACTTTAACGGGGAACGAGGCTCATCGAATCTTTGACCGGAAAAAATTAAATTATGCCTTAAACTCAAATATTACTGAGAAAAATATCGGAAAGCGTTTAGCAGATGACGATGGTACGGAAGATACAAGTATCAACGTGGACAAGGGTATAAAGAGCCGAGTACACCGGAAGATAATGTAGATATTTTCCGTCGTGCTTCCAACGTACAAAACATCATGCGCAGTAAATTCACTTTTTCTTCTCAACATCTAGATCCCAGCTCACGATGATGAAAGTGATGAAAGTGACAATGAGAGTATTATAAGACCAAGAAGCAATTCGCCACTTCACGACGAATTTTTAAGGGTATGGAATCTGTTGTTGATGATGATGATGATGATGATGACTACGTTTATAGTTCGGAATCTTCGTCCTGTGACAGTTCCGATAATGATGATACTGTTGTAGATGATAGTAAGTTGAAGACAAAGATAGAGTTGACTGAATTCGATAAGACATACTTAAAAATGAATGACTCGGACAAATGGATTCTTTCTACGGGAAAAATAGTAGAAGATGCTCTATACAATTTTGGTATTAAATGCAGGCACGAACAGTAAGTATCCTTTATGTATTGGACAAAGCTCAGGTTCTATTACTTGACATCTAACATTTTGCGACTTTCCAAAACCTATGTCATTCATTTGTGATAGATCCAAATGATAAAATTTATACCAATGAAGAAGTTTTTACTGAGATAGAACTTGATGAAATTCGAAAATATAAACTTAAGCCAATACCACAGATGCCCCAAGACTTATTAACGTATCTTAACAGTTTTCGGGTGGTAGGTAGTTTTATATATCTTGTTGATAATACTATTATGATCATTTACTTACTTGTACATCTGAATTAGTCCGACATCTCAGGCCTCAGAGATGCTATATTTAAATCTCAGCAGTGGGATTCTCCATACAATCGACAAACACATTTTGATCATGATTGGATTTGAAATACCGCGTACAACTTGTAGGTTCTGCCCGATAGTAAATTATTTTTTTATTCCTGGATTATTAATTCTATCTTGATCTACAGGTTACATGATTAACATGAATATGAAGCGGGAAGTTTAGAGAAGGATCATCTGGAATTGTGGCTCTTAGTTCATGTTTGGAATTTTATAGACAGAGGATTTGGGAATGTTGATGGATTGGAAACCGCAAGGTAGGGAAGATAACACTATAACCATTCTTCTATGATAAGTGGTTCACATCTTTTTTGCATCAGGTCAGAGTAATCGAACTGGATCTGCAATTGTCAAAATGAAGAGAAAGATTATGGGAAGGTGTGGAGATCTAATCATTTGAAAGGTTTCTACTGAGTACGGATGTTCAGAGGCTGGTAAATCTTTCGAAGGTAACAATGGGACAAAACTTTTGCATGAAAGAGGTATAAAAGCTCCGAAGATGATGAAGGATATGTTTTATTCTTTGTGTGAAGCTGTTGGGATGGAGGAGAAAAAGATAAGGAAACTGCAATCGATCGGGTTTATACACTCGGGTAGGTTTGATGATGGAATTTCTCAAGTTGTATATTGTTCAGACTAGTGACTTATTTTATCATTTCTTTATGAACGAAATTTAGGTCTGATGATGTTATTACTTAGATTGGATTCCCCTGCTAGCTATACATGTCGAATAACTCGAACACAAATGTTGGAAATCCCCTCTCAAATAATTCAATTCGGCTCAAAGGTACTTCCTATAATTGTGTTGGCATGGAAAGCGAAGGTATGTACTTGTATAAGCACTTGTATTTTGCAATCGCTTACATCTAATAATTTTTGTTATTTCACAGATGATTGTTAAGGGTACAATTGAATTTGGCATATTTGGAGGATGAAAAAAATATAGACGATCAGCTTCAAAATTTACAAAATAGTTGTGAATTTTCTCCTCCACAGATAAAATTAAATCAAGCGATTGCTTTCGATTCCCTGAGTTCAAAGAACAAGACTAGAAAAAGGATTACTTAGAACTCTAATAACAAGTCTAAAAGAAATTCTAAGAGATAGTCTCTTACTTTAATCACTAGGCTATTGCATAAATTTCAATATAGTATTGGTTAATGGGCCTCATAATCATATACTGCTACTCCGAAGCACTTTGATCTTTTTACATTACAGTTAATTCGTTTCTTATCAAATTCTTCATTACAAGATTTACCCTAATAATGTATTAGTTTAGCAACAATTTAAGCATTAATAAAATATTTGTTACAATTTGCAACATGCACTACGTGGTAATGATAAGTCTCGTAGTTCTTAGGCTGAACGTGTAGATGTAGATTGGCCGATCATTTATCCGAGCCTAGCCATAATTATAGTGATCCTAACGCATCGGAAAATTTATATATACTGTATCTTAGGATTTATGCCTTGAAAATTTGGTGTAACTCTTATCGTTCCCGATTTTCATATTTTCTTAAATTTTTTTTTTTTTTTTTAATAATACTGGATCACAGTAATTAGAGATGGCAATAATTTAATAAACATTTTTATTTACAATATTGTTATATTTAGTACAGTCTTGTAATTTTATAAATAATAAAAGTTTTGAAATTTAGTAAAGTTATTTTCTTTTTTGAAGTTTTTCTAACTTATTTTGTGCATTTTTGTTTCTTTGTTTAGCTGATTTTTCATACCAATAAATTGCTTTATTTATATCTTTTGTAACTCCTTTTCCATATTGATACATTAAAGCAATATTATATTGTGCCATTTCATCTCCTAAGTTTGCTGCAATTTGATATAATTTAAATGCTTTTTGTTTATCAATTTTATTTCCAATACCTTTATCATAACAATATCCTAATGAAGCTATTCCCTTTGAATATTTTCCTTCAGCTGATTGCTTATATAATTCAAAAGCTTTATTACAATCTTTTATAACACCAATTCCATTTTTATAACAATTACCAAGATTATGCATTGCTATTATATTCCCATTATTTGCAGCTTTTTCATACCAATAAAATGCTTTTTTTAAATCTTTTCTAATTCCTATTCCTTTTTCAAAACTATAACCAATTTCTAATTGTCCTACTGCATCATTTTCATTAGCTACTTTTTTATAATATTCAAAAGACAAATTTTCATTTTTCAAAGTTCCATATCCATAAAAATAACAATCACCAACGAAAAGTTGTGCTAATACATGATTTTTTTTTGATGCATTAATAAACAAATTAAATGCTTTCTTATTATTTTGATTTGTTACAAATCCATAATAGTTAAAATATCCAAGTAAATAAATAGAATTTGAACTAATTTGATTATTCAATAACCAATTGTAAATTTCTTGTAAACTTGCATTATAATTATTAAAATGCTTTTCTAATTCTGAAATATTATAATTTCCCTTATTTTTTAATTTATAAATATAATCGTTTATTTCTCCAACTATCATATTAAAATCTTTTTCGGTTGAAAGATTTTCTGAGATCTCAAAAGAATCAATTTTTTTTGTATCTATTTTCATTTTTTCAAAATTTTGCATAAGTTGAGATAATTCACCTCGTGGTTCTGAGTTATTAGCACTTAAAGAAATCGCTTCATTAAGTTCTTGTTTGTTTTTCACCTGATGATTTTCGATTATTACGTCTGTTTTGATAATTAGTGCATTTAGCCAAGTAACTACTTGATTTATGGTTGGGCGATTATCAGGTTCTCCATCCCAGCATTCTAAATAATAAATATAATCAATGATTTGATAAGAAATAATACTTAAGTAATTAAATTTGTCTTACCAGTATAAATTTTTGCATAATTTTCAGGTGTTCCAGGAACAACAGTTTCTCTGAGACCTTGTAAAATTTCTAAAGCTAAACCAACATCATATTGTTCATCTTCAACATAAAAAGGAGGTTGTCCATTAGATATTTCCCATAATAATACGCCAATACTGTAAATATCACTTTTTTCATTTAATGAGTAAATTTGTGTTGCTTGGTCAGAACTACTTCTTCGTCTGTTGAAAATTTTTGGATCAACATAAGGAATCACTCCAAATAATTGGGATTGCAAATTTGATGACATCCCGATTCTTTTTGATAATCCAAAATCTGCCAATTTGATCGTTTTATGATGAACTAATATATTACCGGAATGCTATTAAAAAAAATGTATATATTAAACAAATGATGCAGATATGATATTATTCAATTATTGAAAGAATAATGAATAAATTACCAAGTCACGATGGACAATTCCTTCATTATGTAAACATGATATAGCACAAGATAACTGGTATGCCATAATAGATTTGTCGTCCCAAGTAAGGTTAATAAAGTTTTCCTTCAGATAATTTCGCAGACTACCGCCATCGGCATATTCCATTACTAAAATATAATTATTATTACCATGATATTCTAAAGAAAAAAAGAAACGGTCATTAAAATGCATTGTGAATAAATTCATAATATTATTAATATTAATTAAGGTATCATTATAATACCTGCTGATTCAAATTTTGTTATTCCATGGCAACGGATAATATTATCATGATAATCTACTTCACGCTGAATTTTTAACTAAATAATTTAAATTTTTAAATAAATACTATTTGATAATAATAAAGAAATAATATTATTTATTAAATTACCTCACAAACAATTTCTTTTAAGGTGACTTTGTTAAGATTAAAAAAAGATTTTAATGCAAAACATTTCAAATTTTTCCAATTTGCCCTGTAAACCTTTCCGAAACCTCCGCTACCAATTTCTTTAAAGTCACTAAATTCACTATATTCATAATATTTTATATGTTCTTTATTAATGGCTTCTTTAATCCATTCATCGGTATCATGCATTATGATATTATCAGACATATTGAATAATGACAATTTAACAGAGAAGTATTAAACAATAGGATTGAACAGTCAAAGTTTTAAAAAAAAACTTTTTTTTTTTCTGTGAATGAAGAAAAATTAAGTATTTATGCAATTTATTTTCCGAATACTGTAGTCACACAGATAATCTCAGCCGCAGCACCGCAGTAATGAAGAAATTAATCCTTATTTTATGACGGTAGAAAAGTATTGTAAGTTCAGATACAATAGATGAGAATTCATTCAGTATTACATGCAGAAATATAAAAATACATTGATGAAATTTATCAAAGTAATCCATTGGGTTATCACTTAAAAAGCAAATAAAAAAATTTCATATTGAATTGTAAACAATATTAACTACTAAGGTATCTAATATTAATTGAGAAAATGACAACTAAAGTGTTAAATTGCGAGAATTCCAGTAAAAAAAAAGGTATTTTAGCAAATTTATAATTAGTCAAATGTTTTATTGTAGATCTTATATGTGGAAGTTTGTAATATTTCCATCATTTAGATTATCAAATGTATCAATTTACCGGTATGTTTTAAATAAACTACTATACTTATCTAAAAATATATTAGCGTTTAAAATTAGTATTGTGACATGACATTTAATACTGCTTTATATGGCTAAAATTATAAATAAAGTTGAGTTTCAAGTAAAAAAAACTTACTGGCTGAACGGTAATGTATAATAAATTTTCTTTCTGATAATATAAAAAACGCAGCCAACTGAGCCAAGTAATATGTCTTCATCTGAAACGATGCAGAAATTTATCTTACAAAACATTTGACTGTCAAAACCATTATTGATTATTCATTCCTTAATTCCTATGGAATATCCACTTACAAGTATGGATGGCGTTCAGTAATTTATTATATTGAGGGATGGGGAAATAAAGAAGCAGCATTTGCAGATGTAAATAAAAAATAATATTATAGAATGTGAAGCTAAAATTCGTGTAATGGAGTCATCTAATCTTGTCTTGAATATAAACAAATTTTTTTGAAAATAATTTATGTGAAAAAGCTAATCAAATAAAGTTAGTTTATTTTATCAGTCGTGAGGGCAGAACAATAAAGCTCCAGTGATTTGTTGACTACTTCCCCTATCCAATAACTGAACTATTTATTATGAATATTTAATAAACTACAGTCTAACCTCGATATACCGATATTCGATATACCGATATACTATTAAAAACTTGTTATATCGATAAAATTTTATTTTCCCACTATATGTGAGGACATATAAATATCGGTATAACTTTGATATAACGATATTTTCTAAAAATTTCATATATGTCCCGACATATCGTTATATAAATATGTAATAGATTTTAACTATCATATTAAATAAACATCATTCATAAAATATCAATAAGGAAAATCACGGACGACTATTAGGAAACGTGGTATAAAATTTAATTATTTAACGATTTTAAAATATTATCATTATTAATTTTTATTTTCTTATAAAACACTTAATTGGAAAAAAGAAACTCGATTGTCAGTTTTTCAAAGTCAAGATGTTTATAAAACACGAAATGACAATAACTTTTCATCCATTATTCTACCTAAAAATTGACGTGACCTATAGCATATATTCTTTTTCTTTGGTCAAAAATCATACAAATTTTTTTGTAATAAAACTTCGTGAATACACGAAATTGCCCATCCAGATCTATAAGATGATTCATGACATTAAGTCTCATTATACAAATGTTTCTTTTTAATTTTCCTAAATAAAGGAAGGGGCTTTGAATTTTCAGGGATCTTCTCTTCTTACACAATTTGTATTAAAGCCTGAAAAAATCTATAATTAAGATTCTTCTATCACGTTTTGTTTCGATTATGTATTACCTTTCTGTTTATCATTTAAATCCATCCCATTGTCGTTTCTAACTGTTTTGTTAATTTCCTATCTTCTCGTTTCTTCTTATGACTAATACTTGGTCACCTTTTTTTAGATATTTTCTCTGTTCTTATACTGCGCCACTTTCCATTATTGAGAAATTTTCTTATTATTGACGTGTGTTTTTTAACAAAGTATAGGCGACGACTTCATTAAATTTCTATTATTTCAGCTTCTATTATTACACTTGTATCGACGAACAATTTTGTCAGCAAATTTGTCCTTAATAAAATACAAGTAATACAGTACATTGATATATACTTTGTTGTTGAGGAATTATTTAATAAAATTTTAACGTTTTGTTTGACATGGCAAATTTATTAAATGAATAGTATAAAATGCATTTCAATAAATTTACATAGTTCTGCGTGTTAGTTACATACTGTGCATCGTGAATTGCAATTTTGAATTCATGTTTCCCAATAACAAAATTTTTGCTCGTGACTACCAACGACCGCTTTTGAACCAATCGTATCTGAGCGTTAGAAATAGTTCTGATTAAATTTCCAAAGAGGACGTGACATTTTATTTTACGACATACTTAAGTCAGTTTTGGATCAAGAAATATCAAAAGAGAAAGAAGAGGATTTTATAATTGAGACAGCTAAAAGATACAATATAAATTAATCAAGATTCATAAGAAACAGATATTTGGATGAAGATAGTATGATGAAAGCTATTAGCCTATTACAAAATCAATTAAAGAAAACGGTATAGAAAGAGATGGATAGTTTATAGTTAAACCTTATTGTGTGACTAACAAGCATCCCCAAAATACTAAACATTTTAAAACAAAAGAAATTATTAAAGCCGATCAAACACCTTAATTATCACTGATGACGCAAAATCTGGATGATGAAATCGAAGGCAGCGCAAACAGACTGTTAGGGTAGTTTAGATTAACTACGATGTTAGTAAAGATCATCACGGAATTGGCGGATAGAACTTTAATTTATTATTATTATTATAACATTCATAAATAATAAAGAAACACGTATATTCCATAAAAAAAAAGAATCAAAAAATGACCTCCCTCGGTTACTTCTACGGTTGAAGAGTAATAAGAAAGATGTAAGGAAAAAAAGGAGTAAAGGAGTAAAGGACTAATAATATTAACATATCTACAACAATATTATTTTTTTACAATATGTACAAAGAAAATTAATGTGAACGAAAAAGTTTATAAATTTTTAAAATGTTCCAAGAGATTTATTAACTGGCAATAATTGATCTAAAAAAGATATTAAATTTCGAGAGAATTAAAAATCTAATATCACATATTCTTCTCGCATGCTCTAATGTTTCTTCATATCTGATATCCTTTGGTGAGACATTGGCGGCACTAGCGGTACTACCATGTTCACCTTTGTTGAACTTGATCGTGTTTGATTCTTTGATAAACGATCAAAAACATTATCTCTTGTCGATGTTTCTGATCTTGTGTGTGTATGATGTGACATTAATGCACGTTTTTCACATTCACTAGTAGTACTTATTACGCTTATTGTATCATCACTATCGGGTGAACTATGTTCGTATGAACTTTGTCGCGTATGATATGCTGATGTTATATCTTTGGAACCTCGTCGTGCCATACTGCTTTGTGATCTTCGCTTATCAACAATTGCCAAAATGTCCGCTATCGCGTGAAACATTCCCACCTGATTCTAAGTAAAGACTTGTTAAACTACTTTGTCGACTATGTGCAAGAATTGTTGACCCAACGTGAAGCGAACTTGAAAATTGAACACTAGGTTTTCTTCGTTCTAAATGTTGATCACTGGATCTGGAACGTTCTAAAGGTTGACTGCAGGACCTTGTGCGTTTAAAAAATTGACTATTGAGAGAACTTGTGCGTTCTAAATGTAAATTTCCAAGCTCTATTGAAGGAGAAATATTCTCATCATTTGGTGTTGATGGACCATTCTTTAATCTTCGACCATTTAAACTCCTCTTTACATCATTGTAACCAATGCTTCCACTGCTATAATCACTATTACCAGAATCTTTTCTCTTTGAATTTGTTGGAACGTCCGGCGTTGATGATTGAATTTCATTAGTTCGTTCAGATACCTTTTCGCGTAATTGAAGATTTAACAAGTATAAATTGCGTCTTGATGATAATCCCATTTGACAAGGAGTTCCAAGAGTTCCTGCAGATACTGCAGCCTCGAAGGAAATGGCATTGGAAGTACTATTTTCAATATCGTCCATCTGTAATTCTCTCTTTTCTGGAGTTGATGGACTTAATGATCTTCCATCAAGACGTAAAGCTTCTTCGAGAAATCTGCTTTTCTTCTCGTATTTACTTGTCAATAATGATTTTCTTAAATCCATAATTGTCCTTTCTCGTTGTTCTAGAATCATTTGAAGAGACCGATATCCAGTCCGAAGTTTAATAATATCCTTAAAGAAGGATTCCAATATTGTATAAGATTCGAATTGATCCAAATTTTGTAGAACTCGAAAAACATAGTCATATAAGGCTTCATGTGATGCAACCTCTGGTAAGATGAAGGGAAGTTTCTTTTCAGCTTTATCAGTCTTAATATAATTCTCTTCTTGGTCCGCAGCAATACTTGATTGTAAAGAATGAATCTCAGCATTAATGCAAGCAATTTCCGAGGTAATTATCTCAATCTTATCATCTAATGCTTGAGCATATCCTCTTAATTCATTTCCAATTTCACAAGTACTATTTATTCTTTCTTGTTCTTCAAGTAATTCATTCTTCTCCTCTTGTAAATTGTTTCTTCTAACGATCCATTCATCCATCACTGCTAGTGTTTGACGACCACTAATATATTTACAGATTGCTTCATAAAGAAGTTTTTTCTTATCATAACCACTGGCAAATACTTCATCATAGATAGGACTTAAATCATCAGAGGATCGTCTTGGTTCCTTTCCGTCTTCACAATTATTAGGTGCTGAATGATCACGGAAAGCCTTGGCTATTAACTTAGGAGTAGTGGTCCGTTTCAGTAATGCCATAACCGATTTAAGTTTTTCATTTGTTTGTAAAACTTTCTTCCGTCTCTTTTCAAGCATGATTTTTTGCATTTCACTAGTTCTTTCAAGACGGTTCATTCGTTCTTGAGCAGCTTTTTTTTTACGACGAAGATTTTGAATTTCACGTTGATTACGTTCAGTCATTTCACGAACATCATTCATGCGCTTTATCATTCGCGATTTTTCACTTTTTAGTTGTTCAATTTGAGCACGCATATTCTTGAGCATTGTTTCATTTTGATTCTTTGATGTAGCATTTTGGGTAGCTTCTTGAATTAAACGGTTCATCTTGTGTTCGTAACGGGCTTTAAGTTCGACCGCAAGGATCGAATTCTTATCACGAGTACTAGCATTTTGAGCGCGTTTAACAGCAGCGTCCCTTTCTTGTTGTAAGGCTTCTTGCATATCATCCAACCGTTGTTCATATTGATTTCTCATATTAGTATATTGTTTTACAGCAAATTCTAATTGTGAAATGAGATGTTCTTTAACAATAATATCAGCATGAATTTGACGTAGCTCGTGGGCAAGCGCAAGAGCATTTCGGGATGAGCAACTAGTGCAATATTGAGAAGAATCAGATTTAGTTGAATAAGGAGAAATTGGCTCATCGTCAGAATTAGATTCTTCAACAGCTGGAATTTCACTGGGAGATACACTACTTAATCTTTTTTCCCATTCGGGTACTTCAATGGTTTGATTTTCACCGAAATATTCACTGCTTGATCTTCTTTTTTCCTTTGAATAATTGGGTATAATTTGATCAATATAACTTTCACTATTAGTTGATGAAGGTTGTTGAATTACAAGTGGGTCATCATATAAAGGATCTCCATTATTTATTATCATGTAACTTTGTCTGAGTTGTTCATTGGCCTTTTCGAACTTTTCTCTGGTATTACTGCGTCTTTTTAATTTTTGAGTTATTTTGAATGATTCACCTTCGCTAACAATATGTTCATCAAGTTGACAAGATGAAGAAGGATCAACAAGTGAGATTTTATTAGAAGTCTCATCAGAAACTGGAAAGTGGTCATTGGCTCTTGTCTTACTTTTCTTTGAAGAACGTTTCTTCTTCTTTTTACCTTTCTTCTCTCCACTCTCTTTATTACTATTTCTATCATTATTTTGATGATAAATATCCTCATCAGATGAAAAGATATGAGGATCAGGGAACTTGATATGATCTTTCTCAGCCAAGGAAGCTTTATATGGATGTTGAGCAGCTTGAGCAGTTAAAAGTTCGGCAATTTGATCTTTAGGATTTTTAATTTCTGTTTCATATCCTTGAATGATATGATGAGTTTTTATCCTATGTTCACGATCATTATCTGAAAGGCCCTCATCATTAAAACTAATTTCCATTAAGAAAGTATTCTTTTCTGCATTTACAGTTTTTTTAAGTTCTTGTTCGACATTTTGAAGTTTCATTTTTGTCATTCCTAATTCTTCTTTAAGACTCTTAATTTCTTCTTCATATTTACGACTTGTTTCTTCATTACAACCACCAGCTCGTAAATTTTGAATTTCCACCTTTAATCTACTTATTTGACCACAAAGTTGATTTATCTCAACAGAGTTACCATTATAACTTTCATTAACACTAACTTTATTCTTAATATTTCGAGCACGATTAGCGTATTTTAGTGTATTTAAGGTTTCCATAAAATTAGAATCAGCTGGTGAAACGCAAGCTAACATGAGAGTTTGACTATTACCACCAAGTGAATCTTGCAATAAACGTGTTAATTTTGAATCTCTGTAAGGGATATGTGTAACATTTCTTGATTCATCACCAAGCGCGCTAATTACATTACCAAGAGCCAGTAAACTCCCATTAATTGCAATTCCTTCTTTTTCTCTATCACCTATGGAGTTAGTTCTCTTTAACTATTAAATTTTTTTGTAAAAAAAGATAAAACCACATAAATAATTCCGACTATATAAAGAATACAATAAAATATTAATAATTACCCTTTCTGAACCAGCTAAATCTACAAAATGAAATTTTGAAGTTACTTTTGATGTCAATGATTTTTGTGCTGGTGGATCATCATTTTCTTTATTTTCTTCTAAATTTTCTATTCCTGTTTGTTTAAGTATTACGGAAAATATAGCGTGTGATCTTGAAGATACTATATTCATATCTGTTGAAGCGACAGTTCGACACAATGAACCCTTTTGTAATTGTCTAATAACAAAATGAAATTGCGTGTTAAAAAAATATCATACGTATATCTTAACGTCATATAAAAAAAAAGAGCATACCCTAAAAGTTCATCTGGGCCTGAAACTTGAACTTCTCTTACACCAGCCCAATGTATTTGACCGTTAGTATCTTCTCTTATCATTAAATCACTCCTTCCTTTTTTATTATTTTCTCTACTTTGTGGGTTTAATAAGTCTATAAGAACTTCATTATATAATTCTAAGAATGATACATAAACTTCAAATTGATAAGAAGGATTTTTTTCTTTTCGTTCGTGAAGGTCAGCAAATAATTTTCTTATGGCACGTTGAATTATTCCTAAAAAAAATGACGTCGCGTCATAATCTAAGTTTGATGATCATTTTAAATGAATAATAGAACAATGGAATGAATGCATCATATTTTACCCTGATGTTCGGGTAGAATATTTGAACCGTCTAAAGCTGTACCCATACTATATGTTTTACCACTGCCAGTTTGACTAAAAAAAAAAAATAAGGGTTGAAAATTTTTTAATAACAATTAATTTTTATAAATAATAAAATATACAAAATATTTACTTACCCATAAGCTAACATTGTGACATTATAACTAAAAATATATATATATTAAAATAAATAATATAATATAATAAACAATAATAAATTATATATATATATATATTTGTTATTTATATTTGATTCTTCTGAATGACGTGATATTTTTTATCCTGTACTCACCCTTTCACCAATTTTTCTACTAGCGGACTTGCGCATTCTTGAAATACTTCTTCTTGTTCAGTATCCGATGGGAATACATGATCGAATGTAAAGGATTTATCGTTTCCAATGAGTATTTGTGGTGCGTCAGATATTGTTGTTAAACTTTTATTACAATTTTGTTGTGTTTCTTTTTTATTAAGTGGTCTCACTCTTAAAGCAACTCTATTTATTATAAGGAGAGGACAGAAAGGAAGATGAGTGAAAGGAGGAAAAAGATAAAGGTGGAAGAAAATAAATAAGAAAAAGACTTATTAAGATTAAAGAGTGCTAGGTATGTGGCACAAAATTATCTGTGACGTATTGCCGATCATTTTAGTACCCTAGCCATGGCGAAAAAAAAGTGACTGACACGTGACTTTTGGCCCGCATTACGGCGTTATGCACTAACACGTGAAAATAACCGGTGAAGAATAAGGGGTGACGAATAAGTTTTTACCTACTCAAAAAAAACTAAGTCCCTCAGATAAATATAAAAAGTGGAAATGCGGTGGGCGTGACGGTTGTGATGAATAAAATGCAGTCACGTGTCAGTCACTTTTTTTTCGCCATGGCTAGGGTTGTATATCCAATAACAATTACTTATCGTATAGCAAATTCTTCAAATTGCTGTTCCTCTGTTCCTCAATAGTGGAAAAATTTGACGCCATGTTGGCCACAAATTGCTTTATTTAAATTGCAGATCATTTTCCATGTGAGTAAAACACGTTAAATTAGTTTTGCATTCTTTTTGTTATGGTTTAGTTAAATTTAAATAAAATTTTTCCGAATCTATTAATATCACAAAATCAAGGGAATAGATATAAAATATGTAAATATCAAGACTTCATTCATATTTTTTGTTATTTTAATTTATAAATTAATTTATTAACTATTTTCTTAAAATTTAATAGTAGAAAAATGTGAATTTTTAATGCNTTTTTTTTTTTCTAAATTGAGAGCTTATATACGGAAAAAAACCTCAAGTTTTTTTTTTTTAGTTTTAAAATTAAACAATCGATTGTAATGACTTATTATTATTCGAAAAAAGAAAAGAAACAATGAAAAATAATAATAATAATAATCAAACAAGAAATTATATTCAGTTTGTTATTTCATATTTTCAATTTTATCATATTAACAATAATTATTTAAAATTATTTTCAGCCAATGAAAAAAATCATTTGATATTAAAAAATTTTTAGATTAAAAAAAACATTTTGGTTAATTGTCCAACATATCATTCTAATTAAGTTAAAAATCATAGAAACATACTAAAACAATGTTTTTTTTATTTACATTGATATTCACAGGGGCAAAAGAGAAATTTTTTGATATGTATTATTTATACTTACAAATTGAGTTACAATTTACAAATAAATGCACAATGGCCAAATTTTCGAATTAACTTCATCAAATGGCTTTGTAATATATATGCACTATTTATTATATATTAATAATATGAAATTACACGTGGCAATCGTGGCATCTCAGATTATAGAACATCAGCCATAATATTCTAAAAGCTTGTCGATATTAAACCTATTAAATAATAAGTTTTAAAATATTTTTTTTTAAAACACATCCGATACATAATCCGATCGAGTCGCATGGTATATATACTATTTAATATTATTTTAATAATCTAGGTTAATATGGATTATGATATTAAAATCGCAATTTGATCACGTTTTTTCTATAACTATTGGTGATTGGTCTTAGAATAAATGTAAAAATCCAAATTCCAAAAACAATATTGAGGAGGACACTTTATATTTTTTTTTTTTCTGCCCATGAAATTATCGACAATATAGTAAGTAACGCATTGTTAATTCAAATTATCAAGCGCCGTTAGCATCTGATATTAAAGTATAAAAATAGTAAATTGATGATTTAATACCTTGATATGTCGACGTAGACCAAAGAAATACCGATTTTAAATTGTTTACAACGTCAAAAATTATAATGAAACACTACTAAATTAAGAAGGTAAGAAAAGAAAAGAATCCACAATTTTAATAAATGAATTTAGATAACGAAATAAATGAAATAAATGAAAGAGATAGATTGGAATCACAATGTACGATAATAAATTTCATTGTTATCAAATGACATCTATTTTTCCCACTCTAGTAAGCGTTATTCATGGGCTGTGAAGATATTTCTGCAATGGCAAAAAAATGCACAACCATAAATACAACATCAAACATGTGCACGATGGAATGTCAACAAACCTGTCAGGTTTAAGTTTAGAAAAAATTTTTTTTTTTTTTTGATGTAAATAAATACTGTACATTATTTCTCTATATTTAAATATATTCATATGATATCTCGGCATTAGTAATTTACCGGTATAACTTTTTTCACACGAAAGAAATGGAAAAATATATATATATATATCTTTTTATGATACATTTTCGGTTTAGCGTTTTTTGATTTTAATGTAACTAATTCCGAATCTCCGATATAAAAATCATATATATGCTAGACGCTAGACGCTATTTTAATGAGTTATTCAATTACTGTGCTATTTCTTTTGTGAAATCAAAAATTTTTTTGTATAATAAATAAATGTATTTTACCAAAGAATACTTAATTATAAAGTAATTATCGCATCGTAATGTGGGTTTATGTGAAATTTCAATGAATATGAGAAACGTTGGTCGATAATCGATATATGGATTTCATTGTTGTTATACGATTATTATACAGTTTAACAACTATAGCTTAGATAATTAAAATTCGTATTGGAACTTTGGTAGGGAACAAATAAATCAAATTATTAATGCTTTTTGTGCATGAATGGAATTTTTCTTTTTTTTTCTTTTATTTAGAGAACCCACGCATAATATCTTTAATCGGTCAAAATTGAATGTCTTTTAAACTTTAATTAAAATCTCACATGTTTGAAAGAGAAATCATATGTTTAAAAAAAGAGAAAGAAGTACAAATTCGTATGTTGATTACTTTGATGCAAATGTACCCTTGTTATTTGATCTGCATAATATATTTTACAATAAAGGTGATACCATGAGGAGAGTCAAGTCCGATACTTTTGCTACTTTGGTAATGTGCATGCGTGTTTGTTATTTATTGGGCGTAAAACATAATAATAAATTTTTTTTTTTTCGTCCTCGCTTATTAAAAAGTCTGAGACGGATTGAATAAACATAATTTTGCCGATAGAATTTGATAGAATTGATCTTTTTTTTCTTCATGAAGGTCACATTAATAAAAATTTTTTTTTTTACAAAAAAAAAAAAGAAAAATCACAGTTCGCAGTATGGTAAAAAGTTGTGAAATTGATAAATAAATTTCGGAATTTAATATTATGATATAATTCCGAAAATTTAGTATTTAATCATTTATTAAAAATTCGCGTTACTCCGAAGAACCACATTTGGATCATCGTATTAATTATATGCAAACTATTTCAAATTAATAAAGTATATTTATCTGTTTATTTAAAGTCATTTTTAAAAATAAACTGATTCAGATCGGGTCAATAGTTAAAAAAAAACTGTATTATTGCATAGAAAGAATGTTCTCATTCTGTTTCAGAAAATAAAAATTTAAAGATGGAATGACTTGTGACGATTGTGACGAATTTTCACGACTAAACTGTATTTGTCATTATAGAACGCCTATTTTTGTTCAACCTACGGGAAATTGTAAATTTAATCCTAAATATGTCAATGTTTTATTTGTAAACAATGTGGTGTCATTGATTGAAAGATATTTAGGTAGTACTAAAATTAGGTACCAAGGGTACGAAGTGTGAATTAAATATATAAATAACTTATTAATAACAGAAAAAGAGACTTGAACGAGTTAAAAAAAAAAAAGAATTTTTTTTTACGAATTAGTTAAAGAATTTTCTTCTGCCTTACACTATTTAAGGGTTATCAAAAGGGTTTCAGACTCATCATGCAACTAAAGTTACTAGGAACATCCAAATTTATATAAAGATGAAAGAATTGACCTGTTTAAAAACCTGATTTTTTTCAAATAATTTACCAAATTAATTTTATGCAGATCAAGCCCATGAGTGATGATGATACAAAATGTACTGCCTTTTTTGCATATTTCCCTATGCATTTTATGGACATTCTATAGACATTTTATGTATACTGTACACTTTACATATATTTTCTGAACGTTCCTTTTTTTATAGGGTATGAAAACAATGAAAAAAATACAATTTCGAAAAGATGCCCATGGGTTGGTGGTTTGATGTTTGGTTTACATAATTACATTACCCTTTATTATTAATGCATTTTACATTTTGCATACATTAGATAAAGAGGTGTCATGGACAACGCGTTTTTTTCGAATTTAAGATTTAATGTTTTAAAATAAAAAATCGGTAAAAAATATATATATTTATATTCACATAATTAGTTCATTAATTCAAATTATATTTTTACTGCGATCATTCCTATAAAAAATTGTTTAAATCAAAGAATTTTTGTTATTCATAACAAACGATAAATTATGTATTTTTTTATTTTATTTTATTAAATATAAATATAGAGTGGGGTAATAACAAGGGAAACCCCTGTTAATTATTACCGTAAGCTAAGCTATACATAACGTTATATACACATGGCTGTTATTTATAATTCCGAGGCGGTACCCGAATTCTATTCTATATCATAAAAGGACGAATTAAGAGAAATGAAAATCTATCTAAGTTATAATCGCGAGAAAAATACAAATAATAATCAAAAAAATGAAAAATGAAAACTATAAAATTGTAAAGGAATATCAAATACAGTATATTAATAAAAGATGACCATCCACCCGAATGTAAATATTTTGAAGTAATATAAGCGGTACTATTTTCCGAAATGTATTAATGCCTAGTCAACTTTTAACCTTAACTTTACTAGCATTAACTTTAATTTTGTTCATTAGCAGTTAGTGATTTCCCCTCATGTTACCGATATTCACAGCACGAATGATAAACTGGAGATAGCGACAATCTTATATTTATTGTCCGGAGCGAATGCGAAGGACTATACTGTATACAGTATGTCTACGCACTATGAAAAATGATCTATCACGTGACCCGGAATTCCAAGGCGTTATGCTGCTAATTAGTAGAAAATCGCTACCATTCTTGATATATGTTAACATCTTTATTTATTATTATTATGATACCTCGCTCCGGACTTACTTACAACGGTTCCCGTTTCCTAGTCTTTACAATACATTACTCAATTAAAATACAAAAATTTACAATACAAAGTTAATTATAGTCGGATTATTTAAATATTCAAATAATAAAAAAATAAATAGGCTTTAAACGCGCGGTTATTAACCGGGTAAGATTTTTTTGACCGATTCCAACTTCTAGAATATTAAGGAATTTTTTATTATGAAAATAAGTTATAATGTTATATGTTAAATAATAATTATACATTACTATATACTAGGTATAACGATAATAAAATATCTTGAAATTAATACTGACCATATCTTGAAATATGCACTCCAGTTTCCATTGAATATATACCAGTTTGTTTATATTTTTAATATATAACGCCAATAATGTCTGAGTTTTGTTATCACAAGACCGTCATATTCGTCATATTCATCAACTTCATCAACTAAATGGTATTGCGTTTCAAAAGTCATTGTCGATAAATCCCATTGAGTCATGAAACCTTTATTAAACAGAAATAACTTTGTTTGACAAAAAAGATAGTATGTGTATTCATTAAACCTTTCTATATCGTATATTTGAGAATGTTTCAAATATTTCCAAGGAGTTGCGGGCTTATTTATAAAAGAGTACCGGTAAATTTTATCAAATTCATTAAATCACCATTAGGAAGGAATTCCATAGGACGATCAAATTGATGCTCTAATCGAAGAATTCGACTATCATTTAAGTCAAGAAGGTTAATTAACCATAAAAAAATTATTGTTTAAAACATATTTTTGCATCAAAATGAATAAATAAATACTTACAATAACTATTACGATCAACAAAATAACTGAATACCAAAATTCTTTTATATAGTATAAACGAAACTATACTGTAGTATTCATCAAACTTAAAATACACGCGACGGTTATTGTTGTCCGTTCTCTTTAACCATTCACGAATTGAATTATCTTCTTCGCTACAAGTAATAGCATATGGATCTTCTAGTATATATTGAGAAACAATAATCTGATCAATTTTCTTCCTGGTTAACGCTATCAAGTGCAAGTGCATAACTCAAACTCGGGCCAGTTTGTACGTTAATATCGTACACCTCTACTGTACGTTAAGGACGCCCTTGAAAAATAACTGATAAGAGGTTCCTTAATGTACGCTGCGTACTTACATCCTACACTTGCACGTGATATCGTTAAACTTAACTCCGGCCAGTGCGTATGTTAATATCGTAAACATAATGCGTAATGCTCAAAAAATAAAATCTTAACTCCAGCTAGTTAATAATTCAGCCAGAATTATGGCGAAGTATCAATTACATAACTTGTCAATCACGTGATCTTTAAAATGTATAGCCGTAAGATAATAAGCTCATATACTTGAAAGGGCTATCAAAGAAGTCTGGTGCTTGCCTATGATTTGCCTGTCTGTTATATTTGCCAATAATACCAAATACTTACTTATTCTTGTACTTTTCTTTCCTGCTTCTTATCATCAAACCTGCTCAAAATACATATTCAGAGCAACTCGTTGCTGGTAAGTAGATCATAGTAAATTTGGTTAACACAACCTGTATACATGCTGCCCAAATTATTTTGGGATGCCATAATTATAATTTGGGATGCCATAATTCATTCGGTTTATATATAATTTACTATGTAAAGTGCCAAAATAATTTGGGATGTCATAATTGAATTTGGGATTTTACTTATAATTATGGCAGTCCAAAATAATTTGGGTGGCATGTATAAGTCAACCTGAATTAATTTTTTGTTACCATTGTTTCATTTTACCTTCATTATATCATATTAAATGCTTTCTTTTTCATTTGAATCTATAGGAAAGAAGATGATATTTAGGATGTCCAAATTTTTGAAGTCCATTAGAAAAAAGGGTCTTTTTATCATTCAAGTCATTAAACAAATGATTTCATTTTCAATAAACTCTTAATGATACAACTTCCAACTTACCTAAGGCATTAAATTTAACTACAACTGAAATTTCTAATTCACCTGAAACAGTTGAATTCCTTCGCAAATATGAAAAAAAATTAGGACAAGCGCAGAAATTTCTGGGTAAAGTTGACAATTTCTCTGATGTACAAGTAATATATTGCAGTGCTTTGATATTGTTTCTAACCAATGCCTTTGTAGATCATGTGGGCCAGAACTTCAGGTGGCCTGCCTTAATGGATGATATCAACAGAAGCACAGCTTTCTTTTATTTGGCTGATGAATCAGCCTTAGAATATGATGATGAATCAGCGTTCAATCTTATCTTCTTCTATAACAGTATTGATAAAAGAATATTTGATAAGCATAAGGATGATTACATGTTAGTGTATAAATAAGAAGTGAAGAAATATGGAATATTAGAATATACAAGCAAGTAATTAGAGACCCTTGAAGATAAAATGCCTGGTGTAATATATTTACTAGTTGATAAATCATGTTATGATAGTGCTGTAAAATCTCCATCAGCAAGAACAGTGTTTACTTATCATGCTAATCAAGAATATATGGTCTGAAATATTAATTATTGTTGCAAATCAGTGCCATCAGATCCAATTAGTGCCAATCAGTATTAATGCTAGGGCAAAAAATAAAATAAAAAATGTATTTTGTTATTTACTTATATTTACAATAAAGGTTAGAGTAATAGTTATTAGGAACTATGATAACCATTATACTTGAGCTTAATTTAATGATCCTGCTAAAGATGGTAAACTTTATAAAACTGTAATTGATTTAGGTGCAGTTCTTTAAAAAGGGATGAAAAGTCCAAGCATTGGATATGGATACTCTGCTTATGTTTATTATGCATCTTCAACATTTGAAATTGCTATCAGAGATAATAATGAGTGGTGTAAATAAGTAAGTATATAAATACATTCAGAGTTTAGAAGAAAAGTTCTGGTAACTAAGTAGACAGCTCATTTATGTAAATTGATGTTCTAGATCAGTTTTCCTTCATACATAAGTGACAAGCCAATTCAGAGATTTAAATTTTTAAGACAATCAGACAAAATTACTCTAACAAATTTCATTTATTATACGAATATGCTTAATAATGGTATGATGTGACGCTTTTACAAGTACAGGATTTATTACAAAAATAATTCTCATAATAAAACATTAGATAAAGATTGGAATCAGAGTAGTATAATTTTTTTTTATACTTTCATTCCTTCCTTTAACAGTTACTACTCATTTTCTTACTAAAATTTATATCATTTTTTATGCCTTTGGCACCCATTAGGTGTGATTGCCTTTACTTTATATATTGATCACTGCATGATTTTTAATCTTTTCAGTATATCTTTACAAAAAATTGCAATGTATGTTGTTGAATTTCTTCATTAATAACTCACCTGACTATAAATTCAAGGAAGAACTATCTTCTGATTTTTTTACTATATAATTCATGTGATTAAGACTTCAAGTATATTTTCTCTTGTTTTATGATTATGTCTGTAAGATTCAGGGAAAAGCGAAGCAGAATCACATGAACATAATATATATTTGTCACTACCTTAACTTCCCTTTATAGGAAAAAAATAAACAATTTATATTGTGTTTAGTATTTTAATTCTTTTTTGATTTTTTCTTTCCTTTTTTTTTGGTAATTAGTTAATAATTTGTTATTTAAAAAATTTTTTAGCATGTATAGAAATAAAATTTTATAATACACTAATACGCTGTTTTATTTTTTTAAACAGAACCTTTATAGAACTTGCTACAACTAAGTTTGATTCTTTTTTCACTAAATATTATTTAGCAAGTATATATTATGTTCATAGAGTGTAGATAGAATCAATCAAATAAATTACTGTATATCTGATATCGCAGGCCACAGTACCCCGGGTATCTTGTAAATTTTGGAGGTTTGGCCCTATACCCCCCCATTACGCGAATTTTTACTATTAATAGAAGGGTGTTAAAACAAAATAATTAGGGTATTGTTACACGTCACACCTAAGATATTTGTTGGATTATTTAAATAATGGAGAATGTGACTTCTTTTTTGAGGGGTACTATGGCCCATGATATACGGTATATTTAGATTGTAAATTTTTTTAACTACTGTAAATGATTAGATAAAAAATTGTTTTTTTGTAGGTAAAATCCTAATTCTGAGCGAGTTAGATTAAACGGTATAATTGGTTCATTAACTGGGCTTAATTAAATGTATCTTTGTTTAACAAAAAATTTAATAAAGCGTTCCGTTTATGACATAAAGTATATGTAATTATACTCATGTGCGGATTTGTTTTTAATGAAATATACAAAAATCAATATACTAAACTTTAATTATAATTATATTGAATAAATAGAATAATACGTTGACTTAAATACATTGATGCAAAAATTTTCTAAGATAAATGTTACAAAATAAAAGTGTGTACATTAAATTATCGTACAACTTAAAAATCAGGATGCGTACGATAATACATGCGTACATTAAGGATTCACTCTATACTGAGCGAACTAAACCTTCTGGAAGGTGACTGTAAAAAATACACACATATCATATATATACAATGATATTCACAATATGAAATGTAAACGAGAAAGTTTCTAAATTTTAAATGTACCAAGAAATTTGTTAATCGATAATAATTAGTTTAGAATAGAATTTCTAATATTAGATTTTTAATGCTCTCGAAATTAATAAGATTAATAAGTTATGCTTGTACTTTTAGTTCAGGCGGTATTCTTCTCGCCTTCCTTCTAATGCTGCTGTTTCTTCATAATTTTTGGTGACACTGATGACACTGGCGGCACTGGCGGCACTATCCCGTCTTTCAACATTATATTTGTTCTTTGTTGAGTCAAAACCAACATCTTCTGTCGGTGTTTCTGATCTCTTTTCAAGACGTAAAGTTTCTTCGAGTTCTATGTTTTTTTTCTCATATTCACTTGTTGTAAAACCCGTAGCTCTTCGCATGACCAATAATGATTTTCTTAAATCCATAATTGTCTTTTCCCGTTGTTCTAGAATCATTTGACGAGACCAATCTCCAGTTCGAAGTTCAATAATGTCCTTAAAGAGAGATTCCAATAATGTATAAGATTCGAATTCATCCAAATTTCGTAGTATGCGAAACGCAAAATTATATGAAGCTTCAGGTGTGGCATTTTCTGGTAAGATGAAGGAAAGTTTACGTTCAGCTTCACCAGTCTTGATACTATTCTTTCGTGGTTTATCTCCAGTTTCTTTGTTATTTTCACAATCGTGATTCGATTCTTCTTGTTTACAATTTTCTTCTTGTTCCGCGGCAATACTAATATGCAAATAATGAATCTTAGAATTAATGTAAGCAATTTCTGAGGTGATCATCTCAATCATATCATCTAATGCTTGGGCATCTCCTCCTAATTCATTTCCAATTTCACTAGTGATTATTTTTTCACGTTCTTCAAGTAATTCATTCTTCTCCACTTGTAAATTGTTTCTTTTAACGATCCATTCATCCACCATTGCCAATGGTTGACGACCACTAATATATTTATAGATAGCTTCATCAAGAAGTTTTTTCTTGTCATCATAGATAGGACCTAAATCATCAAAAGATCGTCTCAAATCATTTCTGCCTTCACCATTACTAGATACTGATTGTCGTTTGTGATTACGGGAAGCCTTGGTGATTGACTTATGAGTAGTGGTTCGTTTGAGTAACGCCATAACTGATTTAATTTTTCCATTTTTTTGTAAAATTTCCTTCCGTCTCTTTTCAAGCATGATTTTTTGCATTTCATTAATTCTTTCAAGACGTTTCTTTTGTTCTTGAGCAGCTTTTTCTTTACGACAAAGATTTCGACGAAGATTTTGAATTTCACGTTGATTACGTTCAGTCGTTTCACGAACACGCTCGGCTTCATCCTTCATGCGCTTCATCATTCGTATCTTTTCACCTCTTAGTTGTTCAATTTGAACACGCATATTCTTGAGAATTGTTTCATTTTGATTCTTTGATGTGGTATTTGATTGAGTAGCTTCATTATATTTTCGACGAAGTTCACCAATTTCTCGAATTAAACGTTTCATCTTATGTTCGTAACGGGCTTTAAGTTCGGTAAGGATCGAATTCTTATCACGAGTACTAGCATTTTTTTGAGCGCGTTTAAGAGCAGCTTTTCTTTCTTTTTGTAAAGTAATTAAAGTTTTTTTCATATCAGCCAATTTTTGTTCATATTGAGCTTTCATATAAGTATATTCTTGTTCAGCGCGTTCCAATTGTGAAACAAGTTGTTTTTTAACAGAGATATCAGCTTGAATTTGGTGTAACATACGGGTGAGAGCAATAACGTTTTGTACTTGTTGGGAGGAGCAACCAGTGCTATTTTGAGAAGATTCACTTGAACAAGGGGAAATTGGTCTTGAATTTGAAGTACGACGAGTAAGTTGTGGTGGTTGTGGATAAGATCCTTGCCATTCTGACACTTCAGTGGTTTGAATTTCACTGAAAGATACAATGCTTGATCTTCTTTTTTCTTTTTGATGATTGGGAATCATTTGATCGATATAACTTTCACTCTTAGTTGATGAAGGTTGTTTTATTAATTGACTTAAAATAGGATCATCATGTAAAGAACCTCCATTCTTTATTAACATGTAACTTTGTCTGAGTTGTTCCTTTGCCTTTTCAAGCCTATCTCTTGTCTTGCTACGTCTTTTCAATTTTCGAGTAAGTTTGAATGATTCACTATCAACATTTTCACCATCTTCTTCTTCAATGCTTTCTTCTTCTTCTTCATATGGTGTGAATAAGGATTTAACTTCTTCCAAACTTACATGTTCAAGTTGATGATGAGATGAGGAAGGACCAATAGATGAGATTTTAGTAGTAAAAGTTTCATCAGGAACTGGGAAGTAACCATCAGCTTTTGTCTTACTTTTCTTTGAAGAACGTTTCTTCTTCTTCTTATCGGAGAATTTGATATAACCTTTCTCTCTTCTTGGTGTTGTTCCAGCCAATGAAGATTTATGTGGATGTTGAGAAGCTTGAGCAGCTAAAAGTTCAGAAATTTGATTTTTAAGATTTTTAATTTCTGATTCATAACCTTGAACGATATTATGAGTTTTAATCCTATGTTCACGATCAGCATCTGAAAGATCTTGATCATTAAAACTAATTTCCANATATTATGAGTTTTAATCCTATGTTCACGATCAGCATCTGAAAGATCTTGATCATTAAAACTAATTTCCATTAAAAGAGTGTTCTTTTCAGCTTTTACAGTGACAAGTTCTTGTTCAACACTTTGAAGTTTCATTTTTGTCATTCCTAATTCTCCTTTAAGACTCTTAATTTCTTCTTCATATTTACGACTTGTTTCTTCATTACAACCACCAGCTCGTAAAATTTGAATTTCCATCTTTAATCTACTTATTTGACTACGTAGTTGATTTATTTCAACAGAATTACCATCATAACTTTCATTAACACTAACTTTATTCTTAATATTACGAGCACGATTAGCATATTTTAGTGTATTTAAGGTTTCCATAAAATTAGAATCAGATGGTGAAACACAAGCCAACATGAGAGTTTGACTGTTACCACCAAGTGAATCTTGTAATAAACGTGTCAATTTTGAATCTCTATAAGGAATATGAGTGACCTTTCTTGATTCATCACCAAGTGCACAAATTACATTACCAAGAGCCAGTAAACTCCCATTAATTGCAATTCCTTCTTTTGCTCTATCACCTATGGAGTTAGTTCTCTTTAACTATTCAAGTAAAATATTTTATAAAAAAGATAAAAACAGATTATTAATTTCGATTATATAAAAAATAATCATAAAAGATGAATAATTACCCTTTCTGAACCAGCCAAATCTACAAAATGAAATTTTGATGTTACTTTTGGTGTCAATGATTTTTGTGCTGGTGGATCATCATTTTCTTTATTTTCTTCTAAACTTTCTATTCCTGTTTGTTTAAGTATTACGGAAAATATAGCGTGTGACCTTGAAGATACCATATTCATGTCTGTCGAAGCGACAGTTCGATATAGTGAACCCTTTTGTAATTGTCTAATAATAAAATAAAATTGTGTATTTAAATAAATATATATATATACATATATTTGACGTCGTATGAGTCGTATGAAAATTTTTCTACGTATTTCGCACATTAACAACAGTAGAAACATACCCTAAGAGTTCATCTGGGTTTGAAACTTGAACTTCTTTTACACCAGATAAATAAATTTGACCGTTCGCATCTTCTCTTATCATTAAATCATTCTTTCCTTTTTTATTATTTTCTCTACTTTGTGGGTTTAATAAGTCTATAAGATCTTCATTATATAATTCTAAGAATGATACATAAACTTCAAATTCATAAAAAGGATTTTGTTCTTTTCGTTCGTGAAGGTCAGCAAATAATTTTCTTATGGCACGTGGAATGATTCCTAAAAAAAATGACGTCATAAATTGATTATCATTATAGAAGATTAGATGAGATATTAAATGATGCAATAGAGAATTTGTATAACAAACAATGGAACAATGGGATGAACGTATATTTTACCTTGAATATTTGAACCATCCACAGCTGTACCCATACTATATGTTTTACCACTACCAGTTTGACTAAAAAATAGGGGGTTGATAATAAAAATCATTTTGTTTAATAAAAAAAATTGTTTCAGGATTTTAATAAATAATAAATAATAAACAAATAATAAACAAATAATAAATAAATAATAATTATGAAAAACTCAGATTGTTCATTCCCTTTGAGAATAACTATAAAAATAAAAAAATAGAAAAATAATGATTGTTATTTACTTACCCATATGCTAAAATAGTGACATTATAACTAAAAATAAAATAAATAAATAATTTTAATACATAAATTTTAATAAAAATTAACAATGGTCGATAAAAAAGGTGATGTCTTCCCAAAACAATTTTGATGTCTGTGGTTATTCGTAACGTGACACATGTTTTTTTTCTCGCACTCACCCTTCCACCATTTTATCTATTAGCGGACTTGCGCATTCTTGAAATACTTCTTCTTGTTCAGTATCCGAAGGAAATACATAGTCGAATGTAAAGGATTTATCGTTTCCAATGAGTATTTGTGGTGCGTCAGGTATTACTATTAGACATTCACTACAGTTTTGTAGTGTTTCTTTGTTACTGAGTGGTCTTACTCTCAAAGCAACTCTTATTATAAGGAGAGGATGGAAATAAAAATGAGTTAGGAGATGAAACGAAAAATGACAAGGATAAAAGATGGAAGAAAATAAATAAGAATGTGAAAGAAATAGGAATAAAAATTGGAAATATTTAATTTTTTATAAAATTAAATTTTTTTTGTTCAATGATTTATAGTTACTTACCGTACGGAAGTTGAAGTCATTTTTTTCTTGTGTATGTGTATACAGTCAAACCGATATCCTAAGTACCGATAATTGCCTGTACCACAATTAAAAAGATACTTTAGGTTACACTGATATTAATTCGGGCCAACACTATAAATTTGCTAGAGTTAACATAAAGGTTCCAAATCACATGATATTTTAATGAGTTTGGAGTTTGCATAATGCTGGCAAGAATTGGATTTGGGCCCGCATTATGATTCACTGATGATTTATATAGTTATATGTAGCGATAATTGATATATTTTTCCAAAAACAACAGTATCGGTATTTATTAAAGAGAAATTTCGGTTTAACAGAAATTTTTTTTGTTCTTTATTCGAATAAATTTGAAAGAGCATTAAAATTCGATATGCTTATATATATAAAAAAAAATTTTTTATATTAAATTAGTCTAAAAAAAATATAATACTTCACATCTCGATGGTTTACTCTTTTAGTATATCTTAAACATATAAATTACTCAATAATCAATGATCCAATTTATTAAATATTACGTATATTAACATTGAAAAAGGTGAAAGATGTTACATAAATTAAAAAAGTGATAATTCGTACATTGAATTAAAAAAAATATTTTTTTTTCAATTAAATCGGTATCATTAACTTTTAAAACTTTTAAAATAAATGATATAAATTACAATTTTTGAAAGATAATAATATAATACAGTTATATTCACCAACAATGTTATAATTGAACCATAATAGGATATCTTAATAGTTGGGCCTGATTATAAAGTATTAAGAAAAAGATAGAAAAGAAAAGAAACTGAAGAAACTGATAAAAATATAACAATAATCAACAAGAAGCAGTCATATTTAAGGGGCGCAATTACAGCACTGAATTCGTGCAATTATTGATCCTTATCTTCGAATTTTTCAGTAAGAGTAATAAAAGAATAAAAAAGAAAATTTTTTTATATCGCGCCCCGCGATATTCTTAAATCTCACTTTAACGAGCTAGAATCATTTTTCTAAGTTGTTAGTATGAAATTATCAAGAGAGTACCACTATCAGCATATACAAATATTCCTTTTAATTATCACTTTGATTTAAAAGCCAAATAATTTTTATTTTATCTTAAAGACGCAGGTTCAATTCCTGCACCGAGCCTTTTAATTTTTTTTTTTTTGTTATTTGTGTCATTCGTGCTATTTGCCATTCGTGTTCGTGTTATTCAGTATATCGGATATCGGTATATCAAAGTTCTAAAAAAATTTTCAGAATAATGATCACGTGTCCAATCAAAATTATTTGGATTGGTTGCATAAGTCAAAATTTTCATTTTTTAAATCTTTTTCTTCGTGGTTATTAACATACTCATGTGATACCATGAAAACGAACAATATTCTCAAGAGAACTTATTTGGCGCTGAAGTTTTAGTTGTATAATAAATAGAATTTTAATTAAAACTATAATAATGTATTGTAAAGATAGAAAACATGTAATAAAAATAATATAATTACTTCATTGATAATTATTTAATCGCGACATCGTTAAAATTAGAAATGCTAATTATTTGTGAAAATCTTTCTCTCCAGTATGCGCAATAGACCTTTCCGAAACATCAAACATCCGAACCAACTTCTTTAATATTATAAAAATGGATTTATAATATTTAAAGTAATAGCTTCTCCAATAAATTTAACCCAATCATTTGTATTATTAGTTATAATTTCTTAAGCGAGTTTATTATTTGGAGACATATCAAAAATAATGGAACTTTTGGCAATTAAAATATTCCAATCGAAAAATATAATTTTCTTCAATAAGTAAAAGAAATTTGTTGGTGTAATAATTACTTTTTAATAGTATTAAAATTATTTGTTTCATATTCTCTGTAAAGGGAAGTTATTAAAATTATTTTTCTACAATATATAGTACAACTATTTGGTGTTCCCATCACATTTACATTGGTCGAACATGTCGACGGATCTGTTTATATTTATTAATTAGATACTATATTAAATTTCGTTATTTATACATTAAAAGTTGCAAACTTTAGTACGTTTTGTAAAATTGTAAACGTGCTTCAATACGTAAATTACATTAGCATAGCATATGCCTCTTTTATAATTTAAATATATTTGTATTCATTATCATAAGAATAATTACATGATCTAATAAACGATTTTTTTATTAATTTTAAGAACAGTATCATTGTATTTACGATCTTATAATTTTATAACTCTTTTGAAATTTTTCTAACTTATTTTGTGCATTTTTGTTTCTTTGTTTAGCTGATTTTTCATACTAGTAAATTTCTTTATTTATATCTTTTGTAATCCTTTTCCATATTGATACATTAAAGCAAGATTATATTGTGCTATTTCATCTCTAAGTTTGCTGCGATTTGATATAATTTGCTTATCAATTTATTTCCAATACCTTTATCATAAATGAAGCTATTCCCTTTGAATATTTTCCTTCAGCTGATTGCTTATATAATTCAAAAGCTTTATTACAATCTTTTATAACACCAATTCCATTTTTATAACAATTACCAAGATTATGCATTGCTATCATGTTCCCATTATTTGCAGCTTTTTCATACCCAATAAAATGCTTTTTTAAAATCTTTTCTAATTCCTATTCCTTTTTCAAAATAATAACCAATTTCTAATTATCCCACTGCATCATTTTTATTAGCTACTTTTTTATAATATTCAAAAGACAATTTTTCATTTTCAAAGTTCCACATCCATAAAAATAACAATCACCAACAAAAAGTATATGATTTTTTTTTGATGCATTAATAAAAAATTAAATGCTTTCTTATTATTTTGATTTGTTACAATTCCATAATAATTAAAATATTCGAGTGAATAAATAGAATTTGAACTAATTTGTTCAATAACCAATTGTAAATTTCTTGTAAACTTGCATTATAATTATTAAAATGCTTTTCTAATTCTGAAATATTATAATTTCCCTCATTTTTTAATTATAAGTATAATCATTTATTTCTCCAACTATCATATTAAAATCTTTTTCAGTTGAAAGATTTTCTTGTTTACAATCCTATAAAAATGAAATGTGTTAAATTTGTATTCATGTGTAAAAAACGTCCAAAAAAGAACCATTTTGTCCGATTTATGTCTTATTACAAAAAAACAAAAATTAAACAAAATGATGCTTTTTTAGACATTTATTACACATGAGCATAAATATTAAACAAATTTAACTCATTTCGTTTTATAGGGGCAAAAGAATCAATTTTTTTTGTATCCATTTTCATTTTGTCAAAATTTTGAATAATTCACCTGGTGATTTTGAGTTATTAGCACTTAAAGAAGCCGCTTCGTTTGTTTGTCATCTCCTGTTTCGATAATTAGTGCATTTAGCCAAGTAACTACATCAGGAAGTTTTTAGGTGGGTCGGTCCATGTAATTCCACGTGGGTTTGCTCAGAAATACGTGGAATTCCACACATTCTCAATATCCTACATGGATCCACACCAAATTTCGTGGACTTATGCCGAAAATACCACGTGTTTCGTCACAGGGTATTCGGAAAATACTGGAACTATTTTAGATTTCCACATATTTCCACACCATGTGGATTTTAAACGGAAAAAAATTCCTGATGTACTTGATATATGGTTAGGCGATTATCTGGCTCCCATTCCAACATTCTAAAAATAAATGTAATTTTAAGATTAATTAAAATAATATTTTATATTAAAATTTCAAATTTAAATAATACTATTCACTGGTATAAATTTTAGCATATTTTTCAGGTGTACCTTTCTCTATGACCTTGTAAAATTTCCAATGCTAAACCAACATCATATTGTTCACCTTCAACATAAAAAGGAGGTTGTCCACTAGATATTTCCCATAATAATACTCCAATACCGTAAATATCACTTTTTTCATTTAATGAGTAAATTTGTGCTGTTTGGTCAGAACTACTACTTCGTCTGTTGAAAATCTTTGGATCAACATAAGGAACCACTCCAAATAATTGGGATTGCAAATTTGATGACATCCCGATTCTTTTTGATAATCCAAAATCCGCCAATTTGATAGTACTTAAATATTACCAGAATGCTATTAAAAAAATGTATATACCTACTATATGTTTAATATTCAAAATTTCCAATACTGTTAAATGTTAATACTGCTTCAATTTAATTATTTAACGATTTTAAAATATTATCATTATTAATTTTTTTTCTTATAAAATGATATTTTGCAATTTTAGAGTATGTCATTCCCATTACAAGAATAATTAGTTACCATCAAATGTTTATAAAACACGAAATAATAATAACTTTTCATCCATTATTCTAAAATAAACTCCTAAAAATTGATGTGACTTATAGCATATATTCTTTTTCTTTGGTCAAAAATCATACAAATCTTCTTCGTGAATACACGAAATTACCCATCCAGATCTATAAGATGATCCATGACATTATACAAATGTTTCTTTTTAATTTTCCTAAATAAAGGGACTTTTAATTTCAGGGATCTTCTCTTACACAATTTGTATTATTTAATATTCTTTCTATATTAAATTAAACAATTTTTTTTAAAGAGGACATTCGTTAATTAAGCTCAATAGAAAAAATTGTTAAATATTAAATAAATAATATAAAAAAATCTTGATTTGCCTACCGGCCTCACTCATTTCAAAGTCAAATCAAAAATGCAAATCAAATAGTCGATTAGTAATCAGAAATAGGTTACTTATTTGATTATTATATTTTGCAATCCGTCAGAATTTCTGGATCCGGATCATACCCAAATTAAAAAGAATGCTACCTGCCTCTAAAATGGGTATTACCCACTTATACTCATTTATCTTTTTGTTAAATATGACCCGAGTATATCTGGGTCGCAACAATTTTCTAAGATAAATGTTACAAATTAAGTGTGTACATTAAATTATCGTACAACTTAAAAATCAGGATGCGTACGATAATAATACCATACACATGATGCGTACATTAAGGATGCTCTTAGCTCGTATTTTATATACGGTACAACGATAATGAGTATGATATGACCCTCGTTGTATGGTATGGTCAAATATCAGCTATACTGTATAGAATTTTAATATGTAAGTAGGTACCATACTAACAATACATACCAATTTTTAGCACCATATCGTATATACAATGGAGGTCATATCATACTCATTATCTATATTCTCTTTTATATAACGAATTCACTCTATACCGAGCGAACTAAACCATATCTGCAAAAAATACACACATATAATATATATACAATGATATTTTTTTTCACAATATGAAATGTAAACGAGAAAGTTTCTAAATTTTATTAATGTACCAAGAAATTTATTAACCGTTTATAATTAGATTAGAAAGATAGAATTTCTAATATTAGATTTTTAATGCTCTCGAAATTAATAAGATTAATAAATTATGCTTGTGCTTTTAGTTCAGGCGGTATTCTTCTCGCTTCCTTCTAATGTTGCTAATATTTCTTCATAATTTTTGGTGACACCGATGACACTGGCGGCACTGGCGACACTACCACGTCTTTCAACATTATATTTGTTCTTTGTTGAATCAAAACCATCATCTTTTGTTGGTGTTTCTGATCTCTCTTCAAGACGTAAAGCTTCTTCGAGTTCTCCGTTTTTCTTCTCGTATTCACTTGTTGTAAAAGCCGTAGCTCTTTGCATGGCCAATAATGAATTTCTTAAATCAATAATTGTCTTTTCTTGTTGTTCTAGAATCATTTGACGAGACCAATCTCCAGTTCGAAGTTCAATAATATCCTTAAAGAAGGATTCCAATATTGCATAAGATTCGAATTGATCCAAATTTTGTAGTATGCGAACCGCGACGTTATATGAAGCTTCAGTGTGGAATTCTCTGGTAAGATGAAGGAAAATTTACGTTCAGCTTCACCAGTCTTGATACTATTCTTTTGTGGTTTATCTCTAGCTTCTTTGTTATTTTCACAATCATGATTCGATTCTTCTTGTTTACAATTTTCTTCTTGTTCCGCGGCAATACTAATATGCAAAGAATGAATCTTAGAATTAATGTAAGCAATTTCTGAACTGGTCACCTCAATCATGTCATCTAATGCTTGGACAGCTTGGGCATCTCCTCCCAATTCATTTCCAATTTCACTAGGAATTATTTTTTCACGTTCTTCAAGTAATTCATTCTTCTCCACTTGTAAATTGTTTCTTTTAACGATCCATTCATCCACCATTGCTAATGTTTGACGTCCACTAATATATTTATAGATTGCCTCATCAAGAAGTTTTTTCTTATCATAACCACTTGCAAATACTTCATCATAGATAGGACTTAAATCATCAGAGGATCGTCTCGTTTCCTTTCCGTCTTCAGTATTATTAGATATTGATTGTCGTTTGTGATTACGGATAGCCTTTATGATTGATTTTGGAGTAGTGATTCGTTTGAGTAATGACATAACTGATTTAAGTTTACTATTTGTTTGTAAAAATTCTTTCCGTCTCTTTTCAAGCATGATCTTTTGCCTTTCACTAGTTCTTTCAAAACGTTTCTTTTGTACTCGAGCAGATTTTTCTTTACGACGAAGGTTTTGAATTTCACGTTTATTACGTTCAGTCATTTCACGAGCACGTTCAGCTTCATCTTTCATACGTTTCATCGCTCGCATCTTTTCACTTTTTAGTTGTTCAATTTGAGCACGCATAATCTTGAGCATTGTTTCATTTTGATTCTTTGATGTGGTATTAGATTGAGTAGCTTCATTATATTTTCGACGAAGTTCACCAATTTCTTGAATTAAACGTTTCATTTTGTGTTCAAAACGGGCTTTGAGTTCGGCAAGGATTGGATTCTTATCACGAGTGCTAACACCAGTATTAGCATTTTGAGCACGTTTAACAGCAACATTTCTTTCTTGCTGTAAAATAATTAAAGCTTCTTGCATATCAGCCAATTTCTGTTCATATTGAGCTCTCATATAAGTATATTCTTGCTCAGCGCGTTCCAATTGTGAAACAAGTTGTTCTTTAACAGCGATATCAGCTTGAATTTGATGCAACATACGGGTGAGAGCAATAACGTTTTGTTGTTGTTGGGAGGAGCAACCGCTATCTTGAGAAGAAACTTGAGAAGATTTACTTGAACAAGGAGAAATTGGTCGATCGGAGAAACAAACAGAACGACTTGAATTTGAAGTACGACGAGTAGGTTGTGGTGCATTAGATTCTTGCCATTCGGGTACTTCAACGGTTTGAAGTTCACTGAAGGATACACTGCTTGATCTTCTTTTTTCTTTTTGATGATTAGAAATCATTTGATCAATATAACTTTCACTCTTAGTTGATGAAGGTTGTTTTATTAATTGACTTAAAATAGGATCATCATGTAAAGAACCTCCATTCTTTATTACCATGTAACTTTGTCTGAGTTGTTCCTTGGCCTTTTCGAGCTTATCTCTGGTCTTACTACGTCTTCTTAATTTTCGAGTAAATTTGATCGATTCACCATCCAAATTTTCATCATCATCCTCAATGTTTTCTTCATCTTCTTCATATTGTGTGAATAAGGATTTAGCTTCTTCCAAACTTTGATTATTTACGACATGTTCAAGTTGATGATAAGATGAGGAAGGACCAATAGGTGAGATTTTAGTAGTAGAAGTTTCATCAGAAACCGGGAAGTGACCATCAGCTCTTGTCTTACTTTTCATTGAAGTACGTTTCTTCTTCTTTTTACCTTTCTTCTCACTATACTCTTTATTATTATTATTAAGATTATAAATATCTTCATCAGATGAATAAATATGAGGATTGGAGAATTTGATATGACCTTTCTTTCTTCCTGGTGTTGTTCCAGCAAAAGAAGATTTACGTGGATGTTGAGAAGATTGAGCAGCTAAAAGTTCAGAAATTTGATTTTTAAGATCTTGAATTTCTGATTCATAACCTTGAACGATATTATGAGTTTTAATCCTATGTTCACGATCAGCATCTGAAAGATCTTGATCATTAAAACTAATTTCCANATATTATGAGTTTTAATCCTATGTTCACGATCAGCATCTGAAAGATCTTGATCATTAAAACTAATTTCCATTAAAAGAGTGTTCTTTTCAGCTTTTGTAGTTTTAAGTTCTTGTTCAACATTTTTAAGTTTCCATTTTGTCATTCCTAATTCATTTTGAAGACTCTTAATATCTTCTTCATGTTTACGACTTGTTTCTTCATTACAACCACCAGCTCGTAAAGTTTGAATTTCCATCTTTAATCTACTTATTTGACCACGTAATTGATTTATTTCAACAGAATTACCATCATAACTTTCATTAACACTAACTTTATTCTTAATATTACGAGCACGATTAGCATATTTTAGCGTATTTAAGGTTTCCATAAAATTAGAATCAGCTGGTGAAACACAAGCCAACATAAGAGTTTGGCTATTACCACCAAGTGAATCTTGTAACAAACGTGTTAATTTTGAATCTCTATAAGGAATATGAGTGAACTTTCTTGATTCATCACCAAGAGCACTAATTACATTACCAAGGGCTAGTAAACCACCATTAATTGCTATTCCTTCTTTTGCTCTATCACCTACGGCGTTAGTTCTCTTTAACTATCCAAGTAAAATATTTTATAAAAAAGATAAAAACAGATTATTAATTTCGATTACATAAAAAAATAATTATAAAAGATGAATAATTACCCCTTCTGAACCAGCCAAATCTACAAAATGAAATTTTGAAGCTACTTTTGATGTCAATGTTTTTTGTCTACTCTTTCTTTTTGAACCGGCTAAAGATTCTGCTGGTGAAACATCATTTTCTTTGTTTTCTTCTAAATTTTCTATTCTTGTTTGTTTCAGTATTACGGAAAATATAGCGTGTGATCTTGAAGATACCATATTCATATCTGTCGAAGCGACAGTTCTACGTAGTGAACCCTTTTGTAATTGTCTAATAATAAAATAAAATTGCGTGTATTAAAAAATTATACATATATTTTAACAACGTACAAAAAAAAGGGCATACTCCAAGAGTTCGTCTAGGTCTGAAACTTGAACTTCTTTTACACCAGCCCAATATATTTGACCGTTTGCATCTTCTCTTATCATTAAATCACATTTTCCTTTTTTATTATTTTCTCTACTTTGTGGGTATAATAAGTCTTTAAAATCTTCATTATATAATTCTAAGAATGATACATAAACTTCAAATTCATAAGAAGGATTTTTTTCTTTTCGTTCGTGAAGGTCAGCAAATAATTTTCTTATGGCACGTGGAATGATTCCTAAAAAAAAATGACGTCATAAATTGATTATATTTTAGATGATCATATTAAATGATGCAAGAGAGAATTTGTATAACAAACAATGGAACAATGGGATGAAAGAATATTTTACCTTGATGTTCGAGTGGAATATTTGAACCGTCTAAAGTTGTACCCATAGTATATGTTTTACCACTGCCAGTTTGACTAAAAAGTAGGTAAAAATAATTTTGTTTAATAAAAAAAATTATAAATAATAAATATATAATAAATATGAAAACTCTTTACTTACCCATATGCTAAAATAGTGACATTATAGCTAATAAATAATTTAATGCATAAAATAAACAATGGTCGATAAAAAAGGTGATGTTTTCCAAAACAATTTGATGACTGTGGTTATTCTCCCGTCTCACCCTTCCACCAGTTTATCTATTAGTGGACTTGCGCAACCATGAAATACATCTTCTTGTTCAATATCCGAAGGAAATACATAATCGAATGTAAAGGATTTATCGGTTCCAATGAGTATTTGTGGTGTTTCAGGTATTATTGTTAAACATTCACTACAATTTTGTAGTATTTCTTTGTTATTGAATGGTCTTACTCTCAAAGCAACTCTATTTATTATAAGCAGAGGATGGAAATAAAAATAAGTTAGGAGATGAAACGAAAAATGCCAAGGATAAAAGGTGGAAGAAAATAAATAAGAATGTTAAAGAAATAGGAATAAAAAAGGAATTATTTAATTTTTTATAAAATTAAACTTTTTTTGGTTCAATTATTTATAGTTACCGTACGGAAGTTGAAGTCATTTTTTTCTTGTGTATGTGCATACCGTCAGACCTCTATGTACCGATATCCTATGTACCAATAATTTCCTGTACCGATAAATTTTCCATGTCCCGTTTTACAATTAGCAAGAAAACCTATATTATATATACAGTAGTAACATGTACCATACTTTAGGTTACACTGATATTAATTCGGGCCAACACTATAAATTTGGCCAGAGTTAACATAAAGGTTCTTCTGGCAAGAATTGGATTTTGGCCCGCATTATGATTCACTGATGCCTTTAAAAAAGCGAAATTTTTTTTTAAAAGGATTTGTATTTATAATACAAATGAAAATATATACAAGAGAATAAATAAATAAAGAGGAAAGGGAAGAACATCTTTTTGAGGAGATGAATTATTTCAAAAGGCTCTTTTATTGAATAAAACACATATATATATACTATATATAGTTTGAATCTAAGAGGCGAAGAAAAAGAATTTAGGCAACTACTAATATATACGTTTGGAATTTGGATTATAAAAAAGATAATAACAAAACATCGTAATTATTTATTAAAAAAAGTAGAAATTGATATATAGTATATACATTAAATAATTATTAAAGAGAAATTTCGGTTTAAAAAAATTTTTTTTTTTTGTTCGTTATTCGAATAAATTCAATGATCACCTTCAATTTATAATATTTAATATAAATAAATCAATTTTTTTATTTAAAATTGGATTATCACAGTACGTCAATTTATTAAATATTACGTATATTAACAGGTTCGCTTCATGTTTTACAATTGAACAGAAAAGGTGAAAGATGTTACATAAAATTAAAAAAGAGATAATTCGGACATTGAATTAAAAAAAAATTGTTTTTTTTTCATTAAATCAGTAACTCATGATATAAACTATAATCTTTGAAAGATAATAATATAATACAGCTAGTTATATTCACCAAAATGATCATAATAGGATATCTTAATAGTTGGATCTAATTATAAAGTATTAAGAAAAAGAAAAGAAAGAAAAGAAACCGAAGAAACGGAGAAAAAATATAACAATAATCAACAAGAAGCAGTCATAATTAAGGGCGCAATTATTGACCTTATGCAGATAATCCTTATATTCGAATTTTTCAGTATGATTAATAAAAGAATAAAAAAGAAAAATTTTTTATATTGCGTCCCGCGATATTCTTAAATCTCACTTTAATTCATCAATATGTTATTCGTCATTATAGGTACAGTTTTTGGGATATTAATAGCTTTACGAGCTAGAATTATTTTTCTAAGTTGTTACTTGTTAGTATCGTTCCAAGTGAAATTACCAAGAGAGTACCACTATCGGCATATTCCATTGCTAACAAATATTCCTTCGAATTATCACCTTGATTTACTTTATAAAATTATAAATAATTTTTGATTTTTTATATTATTATTTTTTTAATTTAACATACTCATGTGATACCATGAAAACGAACAATATTCTCAAGAGAGCTTACTTGGCGCTGAAGTTTTAGTTAAATAGAATTTTAATTAAACTATAATAATGTATTGTAAAGATAGAAAACATATGTAATAAATATAATATAATTACTTCATTGATAATTTATTTAATCGTGACATCGTTAAAATTAGAAAAAGATTTCAATGCTAATTATTTGTGAAAATCTTTCTCTCCAGTATGCACAATAAACCTTTCCGAAATATCCGAACCAACTTCTTTAATATTATAAAAATGGATTTATAATATTAAAATAATTCTTTTAATAGCTTCTCCAATCAATTTAACCCAATCATTCAGTTTGTATTATTAGTTATAATTTCTTAAGCGAGTTTATTACAGTCAGACCTCTATATATAATTGCACTCTCCATAATTGCACCCACTATGTATACCCGCTCTAAATGCACCCTCTGGTTCGGTCCCAAGCTTATATGATCTCTAATTATTTTACCTCTATAAATGCACACCCTCTTTAAATGCACTATTTTGAAAATTATGCATATGGTTCCAAGGGTGTGCAATTATGGAGGTCTGACTGTATTTGGAGACATATCAAAAATAATAAAACTTTTGACAATTAAAAAATTCAAATTGCAAATTGCAAGTATAACTTTATATATATAATCTAACGCATCTCATTTACATGTTGGTCGACATGTCGACAGATCTGTTTATATTTATTAATTAGATTTCACTTATTACAATTTTGATTTAATTAATCATTTTAAAGAAAAAGCTGCTAACACAACTTTTTATAAAATATTTTTTTTTTTTTTGTAAAGGTGAATTCATCTCAACACAATTCAATGAAATGGAGTTTGATAATTTTCATATTGGTAGAACGCAAGATGGTAAAATGACATATTCGTACTATAACTTCAGTATGATGAATATATAAATTTCTGTGTATCGCGTTATATCAGAATAATCTCTTTATTTTTGTGAATATGGGTTTACTTCATTATAAAATAGTGTGGTGTAATTACATTTAAATAACTGATAAATAAACTTAAGTTAGGGATAATTATTATACATCCGAAGAAATAATTTGCGCAAATTATCCGCGAATGAATACTCCGAGAGTCGACTAGATATTTTCATACGCGTTTTTTATGATAATTACAATTTATCTGTTATAAGATAACATTCGCTATTTTAACGTTTTATTAAAATATACTTGTTTCCATTTTTATTTAATAAGTAAAATCGATTACATATGAAAAACTTGTACATGTTTATCTTTCACGGTTTACTCTCTGTATTTCAGTTATATCCACATTACCCGTTTATCATTCACGGATCGATTCACTCACTATTAAAAGTTGCACACTTTGGTGCGTTTTGTAAAATTGCAAATATAAACTACTATACGTGCTTCAATACGTAAATTACATTAGCATAGCATATGCCTCTTTTATAATTTATATATATTTGTATTCATTATCATAAGAATAATTACATGAGATAAATAATAATCTAATAAACGATTTTTTATTAATTTTAAGAACAGTATCATTGTATTTACGATCTTATAATTTTATAAATAATAATTAATTTACATATTTGCAATTTTTAATGAATTTTATAAATCATGAAGTGTTTCTAACTTATTTTGTGCATTTTGATTTCCTTGTCTAGCTAATTGTTCATACCAATAAATTGCTTTATTTATATCTTTTGTAATTCCTTTTCCATATTCATACATTAAAGCAAGATTATATTGTGCCATTTCATTTCCTAGGTTTGCTGTTTTTTGATATAACTCAAATGCTTTTTGCTTATCAATTTTAGTTCCAATACCTTCATCATAACAATATCCTAATGAAGTTATTCCCTTTGAATATCTTCTTTCAGCTGATTGCTTAAAGAATTTAAAAGCTTTATTATAATCTATTTTAACGCCAATTCCATTTTTATAACAATTACCAAGATTATGTATTGCTATGATGTTCCCATTATTTGCAGCTTTTTCATACCAATAAAGAGCCTTCTTTAAATCTTTTTCAATTCCTATTCCTTTTTCATAACTATAACCAATTTCTAATTGTCCCACTGCATAATTTTTATTAGCCACTTCTTCATAATATTTAAAAGATAATTTTTTATTTTTTATAGCCCCATATCCATAAAAATAACAATCACCAACAAAAAGTTGTGCTAATACATGATTTTTTTTTGATGCATTGATAAACAAATCAAATGCTTTCTCATTATTTTTACTTGTTACAATTCCATGAAAATTAAAATATCCAAGTAAACAAATAGAATCTGAACTAACTTGATTATTCAATAACCAATTGTAAATTTCCTGTGAACTAGCCTTACAATTATTAAAATGTTCAATAACTTGCAACTTTTCTAATTCGGGATTATCATTTCCATCATTTTTTAATTTATAAATAAAATCATTTATTTCACCAACAATCATATTAAAGTCTTTTTCAGTTGGAAGATCTTCTTGTTTACTTGAGATTGCAGTTGGAAGATCTACTTGTTTACTTGAGATTGCAGTTGGAAGATCTTCTTGTTTACTTGAGATTGCAGTTGGAAGGTCTACTTGTTTACTTGAGATTGCAATAGAATTAATTTCTTCTGTATTCATTTCCATTTTGTCAAAGTTTTGAATAAGTTGAGATAATTCTCCTTGTGATTGTAAATTATTAGTACTTAAAGAAGTCGCCTCATTAGGTTCTTGTTTAACTGATATCTGATGGTCTTCTGAAGTCACCTCATTAGGTTCTTGTTTAACTGATAGTATCTGATGAGTCGCCCCATTGAGTTCTTGTTTAACTGATATTATATTTGATTTGATCATTAGTGCATTTAGCCAATCAACTACTTTATATATGATTGGACGATTATCAGGTTCTCCATCCCAACATTCTGAGAATAAATGTAATTAAAGATAAATTTAATTTATATTTAGATATTTTTTCAGTTAAAAAATTTACTTACTAGTATAAATTTTACATATTCTTCAGGAGTATCGGGAACAACTGTTTCTCGAAAACCTTGTGAAATATCATAAATTAAACCAACATCATATAACCCATCAACAGAAAAGGGAGGTTGCCCGCTAGATATTTCCCATAATAATACTCCAACACTGTAAACATCGCTTTTTTCATTTAATGAATAAACTTGTGTTTGGTTATTATTATTTCTTCTCCTGATAAAGCTTTTTGGGTCAACATAAGGAATCACCCCAAATAATTTGGACTGAAAATTTGATGACATCCCGATTCTCTTTGATAATCCAAAATCTGCCAATTTGATCACGTTTTGGTGAACTAATATATTATCAGAGTGCTAATAAAAAATGTATATATGAAATAAATAATGTGAATATGATATTATTAACAATCAATTTGAAAGAATAATGATTAAGTTACCAGGTCACGGTGGATAATCTTTTCTTTATGTAAGCATGATACAGCGCAAGCTAACTGGTATGCCATATTATATTTGTCGTCCCAAGTAAGGTTAGTGAAGTTTTTTTTTAAGTAACTTCGCAGACTACCACTATTAGCATATTCCATTACTAACATATAATTATTATTAATATGATAATCTAAAGAAAAAAGGAAACGTTCATTAGAATCATTTTTATGAATAAAATTCATAATATATATTAATTAATTAGGTATCATTATAATACCTGCTGATTCGAATTTTGTTATTCCATGGCAACGAATAATATTATCATGATAATCGACTTCTCGTTGAATTTTTAACTATATAAATTTAAATTTTAATAAATAAATATTACAATGATAAAAAGAGATGTCTTTATTCAAAATTACCTCACAAACAATTTCTTTTACGGTGACATTGTCAAGACTAAAAAAAGATTTTAACGCAAAACATTTTCCTAAATTTTTCCAATTTGCGCTGTACACTTTTCCGAAACCTCCGGTACCAATTTCTTGAAAGTTGCTAAATTCTTTATATTCATAATATTTTATATGTTCTTTATCAACAGCTTCTTCAATCCAATTAATCCATTCATTTTTATTCTCCGTATCATGCATTTTGATATTATCAGACATCTTGAATAATAATAATTTGACAGAATAATTTAAAAACGAGAGTTTGAACGATTAAGAGTTGTAAAATATTTTTTTGTGTAAATGGTCTATTTTAAGTATCTTATGCAATTTATTTTCCGATAGTCGCACAGCGTCACAGATTTGTATCATCATAAATAAAATTAATCAAAGTAAATGACTAAAAAAAAAAAAATTACAATTATATTCGTTAAATTTGGTTAAAACGTAAAATAATTAGTAATTGGTTAGTTACAAACTTACATTTAAAATAAAAATTGGACTATCCGCAAAGACCATTGGCTAGCTAATGATAAAGATGCACCAATTGAAAAAACTTTAATTATGAATACCAATTGAATTTATAGTCTATAAAAAAATATTTTTTATATAAACATAATCCTGGTTTTTATAACTTCTACTTTTAAATTTCATTACCAAAGCAAGTTACTAGCTTGGCTAGCGCCCAGCCAACCATACATATATGAAATATGCAGTACCAAAAGCGATATACTCCGGCCAGCATTACGGAATTAAGAAATTAACTATGTGACATACTGACAGATATAAAGACAGGATTTTAGTCTTAACGTACGCATCATGTGTACGATCCTCATTGAAATTACAATGTAATACTAGAATTTTGTTTTATTAAATTAATGGATGAACTGATTTGATCAAGACTATAATCAATTGCTACATTGGTTCAACACACTCAGTAATATTTAAGGAAGAAAAAATTCCATTATCTGTAATACAACAAAAAAGAAAACTATTCTAATGGGCTATAAAAAGGAAATAATGTTATTAAAATTTAGCTGATAACGACCTCATTGTATAAGACGTACATACGACTACAATGCTAGCTAAAAAATGCACCAAATAGGATTTGAGTTAGAATGTCATTTTAGATTATCTTCACACCTAGACACGCCTAAATCTACATAATCACATACTATTAACTGTACCTAATAATCTAAGCGCAAGAAATATGAAATATGTAAAAATAATGCTAGTTAGATTTGTAATTCCCGCTCAAAAGTTAAATGCGATTGCCTTTATAAGAAATAAATAATGTTTAATTTTTTTTCTTTTTCTTTTGTCTTTATAATTAGTAAATAGTTATGTTTATATATATATATATATTAATATGTATAGAAATAAATCATATCGAACTTATAAAATTTATTTAATTTGTTTTATTATAATACGCGTCTTTTTTTTATTTAGTTTTCACGGAATTTGGTCCTAAATAAGTTGTGTTGCAGCCTTGTAGGTATATTTATAGCGGATTTTTTATATTTGTTCAATATTAATTGATGGTTTAATTAATATTATTTTAAAAAAAAAATTTCTTTGAGAAAACGCAAAAATTTTCTCAGATAAAGTTATATGTATAACTTTAAAAATCAAGACGTGTACTGCATCCAAAGGATGCGTAAGATAATACTGTATCTTACACGTTAAGAATGCTCTCATTTTAAATTCCAATTTTTTAATTAATGTTATACATATATAATAAATTATATTATGTATAATATAACCGAACTTTTAGTCTCAGTTATCACCAATATTCAGATATCTCTTTGTTGAATGGTGACCCATTTGGCGTGAATAATATAGTAAGGTTTGTATCTTTTAACATGGGCTTTTAATATGTAAAGAAAGTTAACAGATATAAAAAGCAAGCAACATGAACAAGATAATTCTCAGCAGCTTTTTAGAGGGGGCACTAATTCAGGTTTAAATTGCTTAGCAATTTCTCTAACAAGACGTTGAAATGGTAATTTCAGATGGTTGAGATAAAAATTCATTCCCAAAATGTTTATTATTATAAACAAAAACCTTATTTTCTTTCTGTTAGATAATTTAGGTATTTGTAAATAAACAACCATTCCAGATGTGACGGTTACATAATAAAATTTTTTATCCCCTGATTTTGCAAAGTTTATCGAATTTAGTTTCATTGTTCTTTTATCCAAAAATCAGTTATTTGGTTGGTAAATTGATATGCTGACAATTTAAATCTTTAACGTACAATATGTTTGTAGTAAAATGGTAATGTTATAATAAGGTTATTATGTATGCAGTACAATCAATACAATCAATATTATCCGTACTTTTGTCATTAAAACATCCCGTACGTTTTTGTTTCTTTTTTATTATATTATTGTTATTATTTCACTTACTAAAAAAATTAATGGATAACAGAATATCGCATCGCGTTAATTGTTATCGATCAATAAAAAAAGGAAAAAAAAAAAAAAAA